TGAACTGTATTGTTGCTGTATTGTCTCCCTTTATATTGTAAAGTGCTGAGCAAACTGTTGGCGCTATATAAATCCTGTATAATAATAATAATAATTCTAATCAAGCATTGGCTGGATCATACAACATGTTGTCTATAAAACAAATTAAAGAGTGTTTAGCCAGCAGATTTGCATGTTTTGTGAACCGTATAACTCATCACCCTATATTCTAGATTTAAACTTGATTGTAATAGTCGGCAACAATATTAATTGTAACTTTAGGATACATGCCATATCATTCCTGGGCCAAACTGATTTATTGAAATAAAATGAGATTAGATGATGTCCTTCAGTAACGATGCCTTATTATTTCCACCTGTAGGGTCCAATCATCATGTTCTAACTCTCCGCAGGTCTGCTAACCACGATAGGGATTTTTTTTTTAGTGGTTTATAGATTTCCGTTCATAAAAGGAAAACAGATGTGAGGTATATAATAGGCTTCCATTAAAATAGGTTAAGTTAGTTAATTGGCAGAACTGTGAAAGAAATTAAAGGAATAAAAGCGAATAAACAAAACTGAAGGGTGTGCAGAGACAGGTCACTGTGAACATGAAATGCATTTAAAAAAACACTCCACCTTAGGGTTGCCACCTCATCGCTTTACACCCGAACACATATTTACACAGGTTCTGAGACTAATTGAACCACTTGCCCTCCAGAGGATTTACCCCGCTTCCTGACCAGGCCATTCTTTGCAATACGGTGCTGCGTTACTTTAACTGACAATTGTGCGGTCATGCAGTGCTACATCCAAATAAAATCTATGTTCTTTTTTCACACAAATAGAGCTTTCTTTTGGTGATATTTGATCACCTGTGTGTTTTTAATTTTTTGCGCTATAGACAAAAAAAAGACCGACAATTTTGAAAAAAAAAAAATACAGACGTACCTCAGTTTACAAACGCCTTGGTCAACGTAATTTTCGGTTTACGAATGAAAATCCATTGAAAATAATGGCTCAGTTTACTAATTTTTTCCTCACTACGAACGGATTAATTGGTTTTCAGTGCATTTACAATTTTTTTTTTAATCATGTCCCTGTACAGTATTTATGCCTTTAAAGTGCACTTTATAAACAGTTTTGAACAGATAAGACTTTTTTTTTTATTTTTTTCTGACCTCCGGAATGGATTAATTGGTTTTCAGTGCATTCCTATGGGAAATCGCGTTTCGGTTTACAAATTTTTTCGCAATGCGAAAAGTCCCGCATCACTAATTAAATTAGTAAACAGAGGTACGCCTGTATTTTTGACTGTTTGCTATAAAACATATCCAGTAAAAAGATTTTAAAAATCTAATTTCGTCATAAATTAAGGCCAAAATGTATTGTGCGACATGTCTTTGCTAAAAAAAATCCCAATACATGTAAATGAATTGATTTACATGAAAGTTATAGTCTCAACGACTTATAGCGGGCCTCTGGGACTGCAGTGGGTTTCTGACACTGGGGGGGAAGTGACTAACTGCCACTGACATCCCTAGTGACACCAATACAATGATCAGTGCTAATAAAAATCACTGACACTGTACTAATGACACTGGGCAGGAAGGGGTTAACATCTGGGGCGATCAAAGGGTTAACTGTGTGTTGTGTGCTATTTTACTGTATGTGCTGTGTGTGTTTTACTTGGGAAACATGTTGCAGAGAAATACACAGCAGCATGTTACTGCTGGGAGTAGAGAGACCTATGTTGTTTACCCCTGCCAGTGTTGTTTGGTGATCGCCGGGTGCTGGCGAAGAATCGCCGGCCAGTACCCAGTAATTGACATGTGTAGCAGCCAATGGCGGCATGGGTAGGGCGGCGCTCGCGCCCCCTGCCTGGAGATGCAAGCCACATATATATATTCATGATTTTGCACAGCCCTGCCGCCCTGTAGCAGTATTTCTGCTATAAGGCAGCGGACAACTGGTTAAACAGAGTAGGCACTAAGTGAGTTTCATTACCATCTTTATTAGCCACAGAACCTGTGTTATTAATATGTGTTTGGGTTTAAAGAAATCGGATGGCAACCTACTCCACCCAGAATTTAGAGTTAAAGTGGAACTCTATATCCCACATAAATGTCCACACTTTTCCTACCTGCAAGCCACTTCTAAGGCCCCATTCACACAGGTGTTGAGGTGTAAGGGGTCTGGTGTTTATGTGGGTTGAGTGGCCAGGTGCTGCCTGTAGGCAACCTATGTAAGTTCATGAGACAGACACAGCCACTCCACCCTACATAAATGTCCAAAGTTTTCCTACCTACAAGCCTCTTCTAAGGCCACATTCACACAGGTGGTGAGGTCTGTAAGCTGTGAATGGGTCTGGTGTTTATGTTGGTTGAGTAGCCAGGTGCTGCCTGTAGGCAATCTATGTAAGTCCATGAGATGGACACAGTCACTCCACCCTAAATAAATGTCCAAACTTTTCCTACCTATAAGCCTATTCTACTGCCCCATTCACTCAGATATTGAGGCCTGTAAGTTGTGAATGAGCCTGGTGTTTATGTGGGTTGAGTGGCCAGGTGCTGCCTGTAGGTAACCTATGTAAGTCCATGAGACGGACACAGCCACTCCACCCTAAATAAACTTCCAAACTGTCCAAACCTCCAAACCTACCTACCTTTCCTACCTACAATCCTCTTCTATGGCCCCATTTGCACAGGTGGTGAGGCCTGTAAGCTGTGAATGGGCCTGATGAACACAGCCACTCCACCCTATCTGAGAGGTGTGCACATGCACAGGTCAAGAACTCCTCCCCCACAGAGGGTGGCTATAGAAAAATGGCTGGTTATGTTCTTTTTCCACCTGTGATTGGACAGTGTTAGACCAGCAGCATAATGATGAGGTCTTCCCCCTGTCTTCAGGAAAATGTTTTCTTGGTTTTCGACAATCATAAGGCAACTGATTGGATCCCAGTGTTGGCCTTAGTGTAACAGTTTCCATGGAGGGGATTGCAAGAAGTTACTATAGACAGATTTAGGTACTTATAGATATCTTTTAACTCGGCCTCGAATTAGCACTACAAAATAGACACAAGACTGTTTAGTGGTAAATTAACCCAATGGGGGTTATTTACTAAAACTGAAGAGTGCAAAATCTGGCGCAACTCTGCAGAGAAACCAATCAGCTTCCAGGTTTATTACCAACGCTTAAGTGAACACGCTGAAGTTAGACGTTGATTGACTACCATGCACAGCTACACCAGATTTTGAGTGCACCAGTTTTAGTAAATATCCCCCAATTTATTGGTATGGGTTAGAATGAATGGTGGTGTGAGCATATATGAACACACAGAAGGTAGGTTTAGACACAGTATAATCACTATGCCAAGACAACCTAGAATAGAGTTCTCTACCACTAGACTGGGATTAACCTACGAATCAGGAAAGTCAGCAATAAACAGTACATGTAAGCATTGACTGCAATATGAATAATAATCCTATAACTAGCCTAGTGTGGACTCTAGGAGAATAGCGAGTATATGGTGAAATGTCCCCTGAGAGGTATGGCTTAGCATAAGTAATAGGCAAGGGTCTCTGTGTAGCAGCTGTAAAGGGACAGGCCTTTAACTTAACTCTTCAGACGGCTAGCTTTGGGGCCCAGTTGTATCATTGGTGCACATGAAAATCATCACAGTTAATCCTGCAGGAAGTAATAAAGCTACTAGATGGCTGTATGGTCAGTTTCTAAAGGACTCAGTCTCTTTCTCTAGCAGCAGATAGTAAATCCCACACAGCAGCAGCTCACCAGTCCCAGGTGATATTGCGGCTCATCATCCGGTCACACCAGGGGCAGACTGACAACTCATGAGGCCTCCGGGCAATAGGGGATCATGGGGCCCCTGTGTCCTTGCCCAACTCAAAAAAGCCTATGAAAAAGGTACCAGGGGCATCTCATGGGTCCCCTTACTGACCCCGGGCCCTCGAGCAGTGCCCGAGTTTCCAAATGGTCAGTCCGCCCCTGGGTCACACACACTCTCTGCTCTGCACCTAGGTGACTCTATTTGCACTCAGCACTCCGAATCCTGTTTAGGCTACCAATGGGCAGATATAAAAATCACAAATGAATGCAGCCCTGTATCCGTTAATGCATTATTAATCCCAACTCAGAAGATTCCTGCCACTAAGGATCGCACCAGCCTAAATCACCTGTGTAGGCTAAGAGGAAGCAGTTGGGGGCAATTAAAACACAGCAGAACTGTGTTTTTTCTACCACTGCCCCAACTGCAAGTGTAAAGCAGGCCATACATAGGTCAAATTCCAAATGATTTTTCGATCGAAAATCAAAAAGTTCATTCTGTAATCCAATGGTGCCACCAATGATTTTGAAAATCAGTTGTTTTTCACTAATTTTCCAGCATGTCCGATAAACGAAATGGGGAGGAATCAGGAAAATTGTCCAATGCCATTGCCCCACTAACAGAGCGAAAATCGTCCGATTATTCTTAGGTCCGATTTTCAAATTAAAAATTGTTCTGGAAATCGACCCATGTGTGGCCGGCATAAGCCTAGCCTTAAAAGCCCCCAATTGTACTTCAATTGTTACAAAATATTTGTGATTTTGTTATCAAGCCTTTCTTGGATTCCTAAGAACAAGATCTATCTGATGAATAAAATGAGTGATTTCAGTGGCGCACCCAGAACTCCTTCATAATGACATCACTTTCTTCCAACAAACCGATGGAGCCCATACAATAGCATGCTCCATTATGTATGAAAGTAACAGTTCAAGCTGGGACATTTGTTGTCCAAGTAGATGGCCTGCCCTGATTTTACCCAGACTAACTTTAAATAGGCAGCTGTGTCCGGGGAAGGTTGAGAGCCGAGACTTTGGCCTACGCCCAGACTTGCATGCCTCTAGGTAATGAAGCTGCTTTTTGCAGCAGGAAGTTGTTTGGTTTTTTTTCTGTATTAATTTAAGTAAAAACAGATTATTTTTATTAAAGTTTTATTGAAACAATTATATTTTATTTCCAGGACAAGTCTTCAGTGTCAGCATTGCAGAAATCATTAAGGGTTATTCCTTCAAGGACATTATACGGGACGTGGCCAGAGAAAGAAAGACCAAAGTCGCTGACTCCACCTACGATGACAGCTATCTAGGTAAGATTGTAAGTCCTCATGCACACGGGATGTTTTTACAGCGGCTGTGTTTGGCTTTTGACATTTTTTTTCTACAGCTAGTAAACCCCCCCGGCATGTTATCCTATGTGTTCATGCGCACATAGACTGGAATCAACATTTTTTGGCTGGAGAAAAAAAAAACAGATCTAGTGGGTTTCTAGAGGAGTTTTTTTAGCTGTAAAAACGCTATAACGCTGAAAAATGTGGTAAAACACCGCAAACTGGCATTTTTGGCCAATTTTTTTTGACCAAATAAAAAAAATGTTTTATTTGACCAAATGGAAAAAAATTTTTTTTGGTAAGAAAAAAAAACACTAAAAAATGCAAAAGCGGGAAAACGCGGCTAAACGCTAATGCAAAAACGCTAACAAAAGCTGAAAAATTCACGTTTTTAACATGACTTTACACAGCTAATGTTACCAGCGTTATCAAAACACCCCGTGTGCATGGAGACTAAAGTGTATTAACACCCAAGAACAAAATTGTGATCGGTTGCAGCTAAGTGGTCCTGAAATGTGGTGGCTGCATTAGTTTTCTTTTTTATTCTTCTTTCCCCCTTTATTTAAACCTGGTGATCCGACCTGTAACACACTTCTTGTCCTATGGTGACAGCACTCACTCACTGCACTGTGTCTATGGAGGAGCAGTGTTGTGACCCAAGAACAGGAAATGTATTAGGACTACAGAACACCTCACCTTCTCTCCATCTACATAACACATTAGGGAGGTGTATGGCAGTTCACAAAGAGAACAGGCATGGCAGACAAGCCAGCTTTGGATTTCAGTGCAATAAAAGGCACAGGAAGGAACTCATCCAATGAGTTCATTGCACTGGATTGTGGGATTATAGGGTTGAATCAGGTGATATAACGCCTCCTAACTGCCTGTCAAATGCCCTCTGACAAGCAATCTGAACTCAGATCGCTCTTCAGAGGGCTCTTGCATTGTAAATCTGCCTAGCAACAAGAAAAGGAAAAATTTTTTAACCCCCCCCCCCCCAGCAAAAACACAAGTGGAAAAAAACGCAAAACGCAATGCAGAAACGGGTCAAACTCAACCTGCATAGGTGTGAACCTAGCCTTACAGGTACATTCCTGCAATGCATGGATGTAATTTGGCCCTAAGGTTCCATTCCCTCTGAGCTGATTGTTTTTCAGGCGTTTTTTCAAGCGTTTTTTTTCAGGCATCTTTGAGCATTTTGCAAATATTATAGCCATTTGTTCAGGCGTTATTCATTTTAGGCATTTTTGCTTTGGCCAATAGAAATAGCTGCTGTTTGAGCTGAAACCGCCTGAAAAAATACTTGAAAAAACACTGTTCAGGCATTTTCCCTTCAAGTCTGTGGGGACAAAACGCTCAGATCTGCCTGAAAAAGAGCGCAAGTACTTTTTTGAGCGATAGACGTTTTTGTTACAGGGGACAGAATGCTCAAGTGTGAACAGGGGCTATTGAAAATAATGGGATTTTACTTGATGAGCGTTTTTGAGCGTCGAGCTGAAAAACGATCAAGTTTAAACGGGGTCTAAATCTCTCAAAGACGCTATCAAAAATGTGACTATTTGAGGGTCACCAAGGGGGGGCTGCCTCTGGCTCCTGGATTTTTCATTCACTGGAAAATGCTTCAAGTGGAGTGAGACTCCCAAGACAGGGGGCCAGGAACAAAATAGGAACAATGATTAGGAAAATAAATGTTGCCAGTGGAGTCCCTGAGTGATAATTAAATTATGAGTTGTTTGGTTTGTCATTATATAACAGGAACCAATATGTGATGATGACATAAATATAATGACATGAGTACAGTGGGAATTGTAGATTTTCCTACATTTCCATCAGAAAACCGTTTCAGAGTTCTGCTTGAGAAACCTTTCCTGCAGGACAGAGAAATGTGAAGTCAGGACGGTGAGACGCCACCGCGGTCTATAGAATATATCACAGCAGTGCGCAGTGCGTTGTATAAACAGGATATAGTCCATTGAGATATGCCCTTCCTCAGAGGGCTGTCCTCTTCTCAACAATACGGTTTATTTATATAGGGAGAGATAGTTCCGTGTCCCACATAATCTCCTGCAGAGAAGCATCTGACTGTTTATTAACAGAGAAAACACAAAAGATAATTGCATTAAAATCGCTTTCCCTCCGCCCTATAGCAGATATACTGCTACAAGGTGGCAGGGGTGCGCAAAATCATGAGTGTATATATACATGATTTTGCACTTCCGGGTAGGGGGCGCGCACGCCCTATTTGCGGCCTCGGCTGGCAATCACTGGGTTCTGGCCGGTGATTACTCGCTGGCACCCGGTGATCGAGGAGCATTACAGACGGAGGGAGAGAACTGTAAGTATATAATACAGTTCTCTGCAGTGTCAGCTCCTTCCAGGGGCGGACTGACCATTTGGAAAATCGGGCACTGCCCGAGGGCCCGGGGTCAGTAGGGGGCCCCATGAGATGCCCCTGGTGCCTTTTTCATAGGCTTTTTTTTTTAGTTTGGGCAGGGACACAGGGGCCCCATAATCCGTTATTGCCCGGGGGCCCCATGAGTTGTCAGTCTCCTCCTGCACACTGCTATGCATGGCTTTGCATAGCAGAGCCATACAAAGCAGTGTGCTTGCAGTGAAGTGATGTTAACCCTTTCCTGCCCATTGCCATTAGTACAGTGTCAGGGCTTTTTGTTAGCACTGATCACTGTATTGGTGTCACTGGGGAGGTCAATTCCCCCCAGTGTCAGAATGCCCACCGCAGTCCAGTAGTCCCTCTATAAGTCGCATATCGCCCCCAATTTAATTTACGCTAATTGGGATTCTTTTTAGCAAAGACATGTTCATTTTGGCCTAAAGTTATGCCGAAAATTGATTTTTTATAATTAAAATTTGTTTAATAGACATGTTTAATAGCAAAAAGTCCAAAATATTGTTTTTTTTTTCTCAAAATTGGTGGTCTTTTTTTTTCTTATAGCGCAAAAATTAACCTCTTCACGCCGCCTGAACGCAAATGTGCGGCCTTCCGGCGTTGGCGAGTGGCAGCACATTTGCGTTCTATTAAAAAAAGACGTGTGCTGAGAGCGTGTGCCCTGCGCGCTCCCAGCACACATGTCCGGTACTCACAGAAAGGTCCCGATCTCCTCTTTCGATCGGGACCTTTCCCGATCATATGACCGCCGTGATGGCGTGTCATGCTGGTCACATGACCCTAAACCCCGCCCCGCCTCCTCGCTTCTGAAACCCTTAAAGGGCCGGGAGGCACCGGCGCAAAGGGGTTAAATAATGCACAGGCGATCGATTACCACCGAAAGAAAGCTCTATTAGTGTGGGGAAAAATACGTCAATTTCATTTGGGTGGAGCGTTGCATGCCTGCACAATTGTCAGTTAAAATAACATAGCGCTGTAACGCAAAAAATGGCCTGGTCAGGACGGGGGATAAAAATGATTTATATGTAAATTTCAGGTACGGTTATTTTTGTATAGTAACATTGGTCTAGCTTGACGCAGTATAAACTATGCTCAGTTTACACTGATCATCCATAACTTTATGACTGACAGATTAGGGGAAGAACACTGATAGTAATTAAAATGCCATCTCAAAGTCATTGGGTACATTAGACATTAGTAAACATGTTGTCCCTGAAGTTGATATGTTAAGGCATCCACGCTATTCACTCACTGGTGATCGCTTTATGAATAATAACATGCAAGGGGCTGCGATTATCTGCGGGTGCCAGCAGCCTCCATTGCTTTTAATGCGGCTGCCTCCTACAGCTAATCGCTGGGAACCCCCACTAGGGTTGTCACATGTGTCAGGCCTGTTCGCAATTGTATATATAGCCTGAATGCCTAGACCTGGTTCACATTGATGCGATTTCAGATGCGAGTTGCATCACATGACAAAGGAGATAACATTGCTTGCAATAATGATTGTTCACATCAAAGAAACGCAGCTGTGATGCAACTTTGGGGAAGGGTCCTGTGCTACTTTGGCGTGATGCAGTGCAATTTTGTGCTCCATAGACTTCAATGGACATGCGATAAGATTGCATCTACATGCATTTTATGATCTGTTTTTCTGTGCGATTTGTGTTGGTTGTTAGGAGCCGGCACTTGCCAGCGTCCCAACAATCAGATACTCATCCCAGCTATCAGCATGTTAAAGGGGGCTTCCAGTTTCTGATGTCACCCAACCTGCACCCCCACAACTCCAGGCCAGGGTTGTAGGGAAGTGGCCCTTGTCCTTATCAACATAGGGACAAGGTGCTTGGGGGGGCCTGGTATGGTTCGGGGGGGGGGACCATTTTTTTTTGGCATTGGATCCTGTTCAATATCCATACCAGACCCGAAGGGCTCTTCTGTGTACATTCCCCGCTGATAGCAAGGATGACTTAGTGCCCATTCACACCATGCCTGCACTATAATCAGTGTGTTCCTGCGCGCAATTCAACCCGCATGCAAAATGCTCTGCTTTTGCAATCTGCAGTGAGTGTCAATAAAATGTTAATGATACCCCAAACACAGGTCACAAACGCAACACATTTGCCAACGCCTGCCCGCAAAAGTACCATGCAATCCGTTTACAGTGCACTTTAAAATGTTTGAGTTTGAGCCCATTAAAAAATTAACAGACTTGAAATTGTACTGCACAAAGCTGCATGTGAATTGCGCAGGAACGCACAGTGCATTCCTGCGCAATTCTAACATGGGCCTGGTGTGAAATGGTTCATCGGGACGTCAGTGGGTGCCAGCAACTTAACAAACAATGTTTCATCCCAGAGGTAAACAATGATTCAGCAGGTAGGAAACTCGCATTTCAAAACATACCAAGTCGCACTGCAGCTGCAATAGAAAATCATATTGAAAATCAGATCAAAATTGCACTGCACTAGTGTGAACTTCGCTTTAGGGTCCTTTCACGTGGGCATTCTGTTTTTTTTTTAATCAGTTCAGTCATGTTTTTAAAAAAAAAAATGGATCAGTTTTCATCAG